GGTCATTTTATTCCTAGTAACCTATCCCAAGGAAAGTCTATGTATCCAATGATTTACACACAGTGACATTCATAAGAGCATTATTAAACCACAAATAACCCAAATGTTCCACACCATTTGGTCAGACACACCCTAGTTCAACTCTAAGGCACGTTCACCCAGGCGCTCAGGCCAAAATCCTAGGACTCATTGTGGACCGCTTTCTCTCCATCACCCACACCCAACTCCTTCTGTCCAAGCAGCTCTGCCTTCAGACACATCCTAAAGCTTGTCATCCCTCTCCGCCTTCGCCACTACCACCCAGTCCAAGCCATGGTCCACTCTCCTCATCCACTGGTCTCCCCGGTGCCACTGGCTCACGTGGAGTCACTTCACACAGCATCCCAAAGGTGGATCTGTAGAAGGTAAATCCATTCATGTCACTGTCCTATGTAAAACCCTTCAACAGCTTTCCAGTGCCCTTAGAACAGAATCCAATCTTTCTAGAACCCTCAAGGCTCTACCTGCTCCTCTCTCCTGACCTCTGTCCACATGCCCCTTGCTCCCTAGGCTCCGAACACACTGCCTTTCTTTCTGTTCCTCAAATGAGTCACGCTTGTTCTCACCTGAGGGCCTTGGCCCTTGCTGTTGATTCTCCCTGGAACACTCTGTTCCCAGATCAGTACGTGTGCATTTCGTGACTACTTACCTCCCAGAGAGGCATTCCCTCATCACACAACCTAGGACAGCCCCCGGGGCCCTGGTCATTCACTCATCGAGGCTTCATTTCCTTCATCACGTGCACCTCTATGGCAGACTATCCTGTTCATTCCATATGCACTCAGCTTCTGTCCCCTCAACCCCTCGTCCCCTCACCTCACTGTGGACGCTCACCTCTAAGAACAAAGGAATATGTGAGTGGGTACTCAAAAAGTATCCACTGAATGAATGGAATATTATATAGAAATTAAAAATGTTTTTGAAGAAGCTTTAAGAACACAGGAAAATGCTCACAATACATATCTAAGTGGGAAGGGGAAAGGTTATCAACTAATATAATGCCAAGTTAGTCTGTGGGGGGGTAGTGGGGCAAATATGCAGAAAAGCACAAAACAAAATAACTTCTGTTAGAATTTTCAAGTGTTAGGGTGGTATCATGGGTAATTTTTATCTGCCTCTTCAGTTTCTTCCACAGTTTCACATTTTGCAAATTTTCTATAAGGCATGACTTTGATCAGAAAAAGCAACTTTTAAAAAACTACCACACTGGAAGAATGCTCAGATTCGGCTATGCATGTGGCTAAGACAGACTTACTCTCATGGGACACCCTAGTCAAGTCACAAACAGCTCTCTTCAAATACACGTGAAAACCTTCAGACAAAGAAACCAGAAAAAATAGATGGGTGTGGACCTGAGGACCAGAGAGATGCCTCAAAACTGGTCAAACCCTTGACCTAGGCTATATGCCAAATCTCACCAAGCTAGGAAAAAAATGGAATATAGCATATTCTAGAAATCCTGTAATAAGCCAAGACCTTGTATGATCTACAAAAAGAGTAACTATTTAACGTTGCTTTAGTTACACTGTTGAACTGTCTCTCAAGTCTAACATAACCTCTCCATCTTCCAATTCTCGGAAGTTTTCACTCTTACATAAGAAAAGACACACATTTATACTTAATGAGCACCGAAAAAAACCCTGAGCCCTCTGAACTAGGTCATCTTTTCAGAGAGACGCTCAGCCCATAGTCTAATTTGAAATGCTAGTCCCATAGCAAACCCCAGCAAGAGCCGCAGTTAATTTAATTAAGAGCCGAAACAGGTCTGTTCTTGAACATCTTTTCTCTCAATCGAGTCCAGGACGCTTCCATATGAAAATCTGCCGATTTTCCTGCACTTGAGATAGTAGATCCAGTACAGAAGAATGTGATTTTTTAAAATACCACGATTTGTCCAACCCTCAAAACAGGATTCTCACATCCTTCAAGGGAGGTTTCAGTCATCCATCACTCAACAAAAGAAGCCATCACTAAATATAAAAAGGTTTAATGGGACTCACTACTGAATGTCAGCCCTGTGTGTGTGTGTGCGTGTGTGTTTGTATGCATATGTACGCACATGCACACACACAGAGAAGTTAATATTCCTTACGACAGAGTGTAGGACCCAGCTCCTGGCAACCTAAGAGAACTCTGCCTTCTATCTACTCATGCAAAGTGCTAAAGAAAATGTGAGCCAAAGATGTGGGGGTGGGTCTTCAAATAAGATATTTGATAAGTCTCGGCCTGCCCTGCTCCAGGCAGAGTAGGCAGAGCCAATGGGTGACAGCTTTCATGAGGCTAATCTCAGATCCAAAATAAGTACAAACTTTGACCATAAATCAGAGCTAATTAAGCAGAATGGACTTGATCGCCGGGAGGGTAAGATGTAGACAGAGTTGACGATCCATGCGTTCAACAGACTTGCTGAACTCCTTATATGCGTTAAGTACTTTGCCAGATCCCTGTCCTCTAAGTCTCTCAGTGGGAACTGAAACACGGTGAAGGTAGAAGGGACAACAAGGGGCACAAGATTATCTTAAACACTGCTCTAGCCCCTAGCACCTAGAACACTGACACACTGCAGGTACTCCGTAAATATCTACGGGACGAATCTGACTGACATTTGCTGTACTGCATGCTAAGCGTATGCAACAGCAGCAACAGAATCCACAAGCTATGCGCAGAGGGAAGAGAGGAATTCTGCCGGGGCCGGTGAGGGAAGACTTCCAGAAGCAATGAGCAGCCTCACCCTGGAGGAGCAGCTTCTCACCAGGCAGTGGCTTCGGGGGAGCCATGTGGACAGGCGTGTGCCGGGAATCCAGGCTGGAGCAGATGGCCTGAGCTACTTTCCAATTCAAATGCCTACCAAGGTTTTACTTCCTGGGGTGTTGCTGTGCTTCATCATCTCCTTTACCTCCAACTGTAGAGCGTACAGACAGCGGGGCTCTTGTGCTTCTCTACCAGGAAATTAGCTAAAAGCAAACAGCAGGTAACAGAAAATAAATACTGTGGAATGTGTTATTTACCAGGCAGCAGGCCTGTAAGACTCTTAGACCTTCTGAGAGAGAAAAATAATCCGGAGCAGCCTCCAAGGCCACTAGAAACAAGCCACTTGCAAAACAAATCACTGTCCTTTATTTTTCTTCTTTCCGACAGTTTTTAAATTCATGCAGAAACTACTTGATTCTCAACAGAAAAAGATAATCTAAACATTTCATAATCACTTCTTACTCCAGGCAGAAACACTGGGGGGAAATGAAGGCATTTTAAAGAGAACAAAAACTAAAATTCAGAACAAAGGAAAGTTAAAATGAAAAAAAAAAATGAGAAGGGAAAACAGCAAGTGGAAAGTTTTCAAAACCTCTAAGAAAGTGCAGAAATAAGCCACTTCCCATCACATTCTCTTTAAAGATGGAGAGAGCCACTAATCCGATCCCGGATGGATGGTGTGAAGCCCTTCCTGCCAGGAGAAAACAAGTCACCGCGCCAGGTATAGAGAAGGCTCAGCCCCACCCTAGCGTGAATTCCCCTCACTACGTAGCCTTCTCGCCACCACGGAGAAGCCGACCCAATCACAAAACCCTTAGGTTGAGAGCCAGCCTTCCCCCTCACACAGCTCTCCTCCCAAGCTGCATTCCAAACACAGAAAGAATAAAATGCATTTGCATGTGGCATTAAAATTAAAATAGACCCAACTGAGGTAACAATACCGGCAAGAGAAAATTCGAGGCGCAATCTGGTACACAGAACTCTTCCTTCTGAGAGATGGGGGAAGGGGGAGAGTATTCTTGAAAATCAAAGTAAAATCTTTTGCAACCGGCTTAAGAGATAATGAATAAAACTCCGCCTTTGAGATACTTCTTAATTCCCAGCTTTTAAGTTTTCTGTTTTCCAGCACAGTCCTCCTCTCACCTCTTCAAACTCATCTGTGCTTCTGTAAGGAAGATCTCTCGATGATTAGCCCATAATGGGCAATAACCACCCCGGACACGGGTGAGAACAGCGGCGATGGCAGAGCACCCCTCTGCAATCACAAGTTTCCATAAAGCAGCTGCTAATTGCGAGCATCTGCATCCCAGGAGGGTTCTGTACCTCGCAGCAGCCCCACTGCCACCTCGCGCCTTTTAATGCGAATTCGTTATGAACTGGTGTGAACGTGGGGTGGAAAGAGAGGGGAGAAGGGCCGGACGGAGAGACTAAGAGATCCGGTGACCTATATCCCCAGATTCTTCACGCGAGCCAAGGGAGGCATTTTCAAGAAGCCGTTTCCAGGGAAGCTGGATTCAACACGTAATTTCTCAGATCGAGTCTCCCACTAGTCTCCTAACGGCCAGCCCCCGGCTTGGGGAGGAGGGGGAGTTAGTGTGAGTTTACCTTAGAAGGCGGCAGCGAACAGACAGGCCTTTCAAGCCACCCAGGGCTCAGCCTGAGGCCCGAGGCGGCGCGGAGGGGCTGGAACGGCGCGCGCTGCGAGCCCCGCGGCGCCACAGGTTCCCGAGCGCGCGGCCGGGCCGACTCCCACAGGTGGGCGGCGCTCGGCCCAGGGGTTCGGGGAGGGGAAGGGGCGCCGCGGCTCCCAGGGACGCGGGCAGCGGGGAGAGGCAAAGGGGCGGGGGATGGCTTTGCTTTAAGGAAGCAGGGCGAGAGGGGAGCTCGGGGGTGGCAGTGCCCGGCTCTGGCTCCCTCAGCTGGGTGCTTACCGGCTCTTCCCCGCGGCAGGAGCCCGGGCGGAGAGGAGCCGCGCGCACCTCCCAGCCTCCTCCCAGCGAGCCCTGGCCTCCTCCCCGGGCGCGGTTAAGCCGCCCGGGCGCGGGCCACCGGCTGCATGCGCCCCGGCACGTAGGAGCCTGCGCGACCACACGCGGGAGGGGGGAGGGTGCCCGGGGACAGAGGAGCCCCGGCCCCTCCAGCTGGTCGTCTCCCCGGCCTAAACCCATCCCACTCCGCTCGCCCCCGCCCCTCGCCCCGCACCCCCTCACCCGTGTTGGCCTTGATGTTCTCCCGCAAGAAGTGGCCGCTGGAGAGATGCTGGAGGCCAAAGTTCTGGGCGATCCTCTGGCACACGGTGCCCTTGCCCGAGCCGGGCGGCCCCAGGATGACCGCGCGCAGGAGTTTGGAAGCCATGGCCTTGGCGAGGAGGGGGCGGCCAGACAGGCAACCCGGACAGCAGCCCCGGAGAAGCCCCAGGAACTTTCTTCCTTCTGCCCCGCCGCTGACACCCTGGGCTCGCGCGGGACTGGCCGGCCGCCCCTGCAGGGGAAGGAGAGACTTTGCAGACAACCCCTCCCCTCGGCCCCGCGCGGGGCCGGCTCGAAGGCGGAGTAAGGCGCCAAGCTACACCTCCCCGCCTCCTCGCCCCCACGCCGCGATCGGGGAACTCCGAGCCCCCGCCCCCGGCGAGGCCAGCCTTCGGGCTCACAGGTCGGCCCGGCCAGTCCCACGCGACCCCTCCCTCCATCGCGCCCCACGCCGTCTCCACCGCGCGGGGGAAGCGGCAGAGGCGGCGACTGCCAGCGCGCCTTGGCGGCCGGGGGCTGAGCCCCTGCCCGGGTCCCCGCACGTGGGCAGCGTTCAGTCCGCGCCTCAGCCCCTCCCCGGCGGCTGTCACATCCCCGGAGTCGCCGCGGCCGACGCTGCCCGCCGCCCGCGCAGGCGGCCCAGCGCCCACCTCCGCCGAGGGTGGACGGATGCGCTCCCCGCCGCCAGGAGCCGCAGTCCGGAGCCTCCCCCACCAAGCGGCCAGAAAAACGCACCTCTCGGCCGGGACGCGGCGCTCCCGGAGGCGTCCAGCCCGGATCCCGCTGGGCGGCGCCGCCTCCGCCCGCCC